TAAACAAACTATCAAATAAAACAAAGCATGCTAATGATTATCAATCTTTTAGATATTGAAACATTTAATCATTAAAGAAATCTAACTGTGCAAAGAAACATTTTACTTAACTTTGTTACGAAATTATACTACTACTTTTTTTGATATACCTGATTGCTTATCACAATATTGTCAAATTATTGTGATCAGTGACATCTGAATTTGCCAATATTAATTACGATTAAGTATTTAAGACATGACCATGATTTAAAGCTCTTGATTTCATGTGAACAAACTATATAAATTTTTTTTTGTCTATCAAATGAAAAAAATATTTAGTTGTATTAAGCATAAGTGTTGACCTTTAAGATTTATATAGTTGTCATATATGCAAACTATCTACTTATTAAGAAATATACAAAACTCAATTAAGAGATTAATTAATGCTGATATATACTACAAACACTCTGCTTAATCATGCAAAACAATTGGTTTCAAGGGAAAAGAGTGCCTCCATTGTTTTAAGCAAATATAATTTTAATATCTTTTTCCCTTGGCAGCCTTATATAAGACAGCTATTCAATAAATAGAATCTATAGTGCTTTTATTTTATTTATTTGGTTTAAAAAAAAATTGTTCTAACTATAATACTCATCTTTATATTGCCTATTATTTTTTGGTATAAGTTTTCCTTCCTTGTTTTCTTCTTGTTGGATATTGGAATTGTTTGTTAAAATATTAGCATTCTCTTGAATAGTAATATCAATGAGTTTCACACTTCATCTCTGTTAGCATTAATGTTAGCATGACAAGCAATTCAATTGAATCTTACTTTTAGTGACCATAGAGAATCACTCAACAAATGCACAAAATTCTTAGGTTGAAAATTGACTAATCTGTTATTTAAGAAACACATATAAGCATACAGTAGTGCATACCCTGAATTGACACATAATTACAAAATAATCCTGCTAAAGGATTTTGGACATACAGATTTTTCACTAAGAATTCATAAACTTATATTCTTATCTACTGTATTCTTTCTTATAAACTAAGAATTTGTAAACTAAGCATATGT